CAGGCAGATTCTTTACCACTGAGCCCCAGGCCCCTGTATTTCCCTAATGTTAACACACATTGTGCTTTATTGCAATTATGTGTTTGTTCTCTCTCCTTAATGAAGGAAAATAAAGGCAGTTCAGCTCAGTAAAGGCAGGGACTCCATGCTTCTCTTTTTAATTGCTGTATCTTCAGTATTGTCCTCACTGAATGATGCCTGATAACTGGTAAACATTCAATAAATTTATTAAATGAACAACTGAAAGGGAAGGACATCATAGGCTCAGAGAACATGAGAAGCCAAGATAAAGAGGTGATTTTCCCATTTAGGGTACCATGGAGCATTAAGTAGAGTTCTCTATGCCATGCAGTAGACTGTCATTAGTTATCCATTTTATTTATAGTATCAATAGTGTATAGGTGTCAGTCCCAATCTCCCAATTCACCCCACCCACACTGTCCCCCCTCTTGATGTCTTTATGTTTGTTCCCTACATCTGTGTCTCTATTTCTGCTTTGCAAATAGATTGATCTGTACCATTTTCCTAGATTCCACACATATGTATTAATATATGGTATTTGTTTTTCTCTTTCTGACTTACTTTACTCTGTATGATAGCGGAGTCTAACACAACATTGTAGAGCAACTATACTCCGATAAAAATTAAAAAGAAAATAATACCAGTTATATTGGAAAAAAAAGATAAAGAGATGAGAAATTATGGGTCATGAATATGTATGTGGGGAGTTGTGTAGCTTAAGTATTGAATATGTGAGGGGAACAGCAGAAATAGATAGGATGGGGAGGGCTTCCCAGGTAGCGAAGTAGGTAAAGAGTCCGCCTGCCAATGCAAGAGATGCAAAAGACACAAGAGACTCAGGTTCAAACCCTTGGTTGAGAAGATACCCTGGAGTAGGAAATGGCAACTCCCTCCAATATTCTTGCCTGGGAAATCCCATGGACAGAGGAACCTGGTGGGTTATAGTCCGTGGGGTTGCAAAGAGTTGGACACAACTGAGCACACACATGCTGTGGAGGGTCTCAAGAGCAAGTTAAATAGTTTGAACTTCATGAACAGTAGGAAGCTGGTGAAGATCACAGACAAAAGCAGTGGCGTATACTACCATTTGTGTTTGATAGAGTTTATTCATGGCATGGGCAGCTTCCTTTGCCCTCCTAACACACTTCCTGCCAAGAAACAGATAGTAATCTACAAAGTATTTTGTGTGCTATTCACCCGGAAAACTCAATGAGTATCTAATCTACAAGTTTCTTTGGCTGAGGTTGTAGGGGGCACAAAGAGACCCAGAGGAGTCGGGAAATTGACTTTAGCCAGGGAACTTTCCTATTATAAGCTGAGCAGCTTGTACATAGCAGCAATTTGAAGTTTCTCTGACCTTGTCTGAGTCACCCAGGAAGTTACAGATGAGAGGTTTTTCACCCTCTATACTGCCACCAGGGCTCCCAGGCCTGCCTCAGCCGTACCTCCTGGTTAGTTAGTTTCTCTTATTCTCTCCCAGTGAGGCTTCCCCAGAGGCTCAGGGGTAAAGAACCTACCTGCCAATGCAGGAGACGTGGGTTTGATCCCTGGGTCAGGAAGATCCCCTGGAGAAGGAAATGGCAACCCATTTCCTTATTTTTGCCTGGGAAATCCTGTGGACAGAGGAACCTGACAGACCACAGTCCATGGGGTTGTAAAAGAGCTGGACACGACTTAGTGACTAAACAACAACAACAAAGATTGTCTTTCTGATATTCTATCAAGACTGTGTTCCTTTCTGGTACCTGTGCTTTACTTCTTCCAGGTGGGACCCCTTGGACTACAAGTGAGGGAGTCAGCAGGCCAGCCTCCTGGCAGACCAGACCAAAGCATCACATTCTTTGCCTTGAACTATTTTTATACTTCCTTGGGGACTTGCAAGGAATGAATGACAGTGCCAGAAGATCAAGGGAAAAGTCTTCAGGGATGGAGGAGAGTTCGAAAAACTTGCCCTGGAAGAATATACATCTGTTTCATTTTGTTTCTTTTTCATTAACCTTTCTCTTTCTTCTGGCTTTCTCCCCTTCTTCTCCTCTGTTTCTCTCTTCTGCTTGATCATGCACATCTCTCTACCGTCCACTTTCTCTTATTTTTGTCTTTCCCCACCACTTTCCTTGCAAGAAATGGCTGCCTTTTATTTGGTTCTTATATTCTGAGCACTGTGTGAAGTGCTTTTTATGTATCCCCTCATAATAACTTGATGAGCTAAATAACAGTATATCCATTTTGCATGGGAGGAAATTGAGACATAGATCCAGTAACTTCTCCAAGCTCAGCAGATATTCAGAAGGATTTGAATTCCACTTAACTAACCCCCAAACTGACTTCCCTGAACTGTTACAGAGTCTCTGCTCCGCCATTTCCATCACTCCCTTGTCTGTTCCCTCTTTTTAATCCTCCTCTTTCCCCTTCTCTCCCTCCCTTCTCTCTGACACTCGCCACATCCTGGTCTCTGCATGTGTGCTGATGACCCTGAAGGTGCTGAACACTGTGCACGTGCCCAGAAGGGATCACAGACCATTCCAATTCTTATCTAATCAGCTATTTTCCTTTTGGACAAACGCTCCACAATTTTCCGCTTTGGGAGGGGGCCCTTAATCATGTGAGGAAAAGGGCAGATGTCTGGTCACAAACCAGAGGAAAGGTCTCAAGACTTGGAAGGGTCTTTGATATGAAGGCGAGCAGAGATAAGGTCCTTTCTGCTTACTCGCGGACCCTTTCATTCCCAGGGACTCTGCATGCTCTCAGGGTTGGGGAGTGGAGTGCTGGGAGAAGACAGAGCCAGGAGGCTGGTCTCTGTCAAGATATCAACTCAGAGGCCAAAACGTGGACCATGAAATATGGTCCTGTCCTTCCTTCCTCATATGCATAAGAACTGGAACTGGGATAGGATAGGAATCAGGGGCATGCTGGCAGCAAAGATGTGAAGGTTAAGGTTTGAACTTGACAACCTCTAAAGTCCTATCAGAGTCTGAGGTTTTAAGATTCTAAGAAGGGAATATTTATCTTTGACTCCCTCCTTTTTTTTTCATTAGGACTGGTTGATTAAAGGCTTAAGCCATAAGAACATTTATTGCTCATCAAGTGAAAATTCTGGACATAGAAGAGTCGAGAGTTGATTCAGAAGCCTTGGGGCACCGGTTGCATTTCTGAGATTCTCTGGGCAGCTTCAGGCATCTTGACTCACACAGCCTGCCCACAGGCAGTCGTGGGGGTGAAGAGGACTTCAAGGGAGGCTCTCTCTGTTTACTGGGGCATGGAAAAACATTTTCTAGAGCACTCCCTCCACATTAGACCCTCCCCACCTCACCTCACAGAGCAGAACTAACTGCAGTGAAGGCTGAGAAAGTGATAGCTGACCTTCTTATCCTGTTAACGGACACAGGCAAAGAATAGGGGATTAGTTTGCCATGAGTAGGAAACATCAGTGCCTGCCACCCCCTCCTTCATTCGTTCAACTAAGACTTACTAAGCCCCCACTCTGGGCCAGGTGATGATGGTACAGAGGAAAAGACAAGTCTTGTTCTCAAGGAGTTCCTACTGGAAGGACATAGACAGGAAGAGGATCACAAGATGTTAGGAGAGGACTGAGTGTCCCCAGGGTCACTGCAGAACTGAAGATACTCAGCTTGAGGAAGCAGGGAGGGCTGGAGAAGCAGTGACTGGGTTCAGTTTTGAAGAGTATATAGGATTCAGCTAGGGGTGAGGAAACATGTAGGAGGTGGTTGGGAGGAGGGCATTCAGGAATCTTCCAGGACTTGGCATGCTGGGGACCAGCAGGAAATGAGGCTGATGAAATATGCAAGGACCTGATGAGGGAAGGTTCTAGGTGAGACTTAGAGGTTTGGGCATTTATTCTGGGTGTGAGGTGGGCAGGTCTGGGGGTGGATACCTTCTGTATGCAGAATCTGAGAGGCACAGCTGGAATGGTTGCCCTGCCGTGAGGAGTAGATCACCACTACCATCTCCTCACCAGCTGGGGGAACCTGAGAAACCTCTGAATGTCTTCTTTGTGCTGCTGTGTTTAGCTGCCCAGTCAGGTCTGACTCTCTGCGACCCCATGGACTATAGCCCCTCCAGGCTCCTCTGTCCATGGGGATTCTCCAGGCAAGAGTACCGGAGTGGGTTACCATGCTCTCCTCCAGGGGACCTTCCCAACTCAGGGACCAAATCCAGGTCTCCCACATTGCCAGCGGATTCTTTACCATCTGAGCCACCGTTGCCACCTCCCAGTAGAGCTGGCCCATGCTGCAAGGCTCGGATTGCTAGAAAATGCTTCCCGAGGAGCCAAATTTGCTACTCCCACCCTCTTTTTTCTCTACCACCTAGTTCTACCTGCTGAAGTCAGAAAAATATTGTTTTTTTACCCAACAGCCATTCAACCATATGGAACATGTGAGTTATGATTTTCAGCATATCACATACCTCATCTAATTTAACCCTCAAATCCTCTGGTGTAGCTATTCCCATTTTACAGACAAGGAAACAGACTCAGTGAGGCAAAAGTCCAGAGTCACACTTGCAGATTCCTGTCCTACACTACTCCAATGTTTCACCAGTGAGGTCCTTGAATATCTGCATCAGAATAACTGAGGCTGCTTGCTGCAAATCAAGATCCCTTGGGGGCCATCCCAGACACCTCTCTGGAGTAGAATCTCTGGAGGTAAAAGCCCAGGATCCACACACATTTTAACACACACCTCAGTTGATTTCTAGATCCATTAAAGTGTGGGACTCATACTCTAATCTTGCCATCACAAGTCCTTTGAGTCTTCTCTTTCATTTTTGCTGAGCATGGGGGAGGAGAGCCTTTCAGGCGAATCTGATTTCTAAGTTGCCTTTCTTAAGGAACGCATTGGTATGGGTCAGTGGAATCACAGGGCATGACCGGACTTCCCAGACATTTGCAGAACCATCCCTCTGTTTTTCTCTCTGCCCCATTGGCAGGAGTCTTGGTGTCTGTCTTCTGCTGAGCCAAGATGGGTGACTGGAGCTTCTTGGGAGAGTTCCTGGAGGAAGTACACAAGCATTCCACGGTGATCGGCAAGGTCTGGCTCACGGTCCTCTTCATATTCCGCATGCTGGTGCTGGGCACGGCTGCCGAGTCGTCCTGGGGGGATGAGCAGGCCGATTTCCTCTGTGACACGATGCAGCCTGGTTGCGAGAACGTCTGCTATGACCAGGCCTTCCCCATCTCCCACATTCGCTACTGGGTGCTGCAGGTCATCTTCGTCTCCACGCCCTCGCTGGTGTACCTGGGCCACGCCGTGCACATGGTGCGCGTGCAGGAGAAGCGGAAGCTGCTACGGGAGGCTGAGCGGGCCAAAGAGGTGCGGGCCGCTGGCTCCTACGAGTACCCGGTGGCCGAGAAGACAGAGCTGTCCTGCTGGGAAGAAGTGAATGGAAGGATTGCCCTCCAGGGCAGTCTACTCAACACCTACGTCTGCAGCATCCTGATCCGCACCACCATGGAGGTGGCCTTCATTGTGGGCCAGTACCTCCTCTACGGGGTCTTCCTGGACACCCTGCATGTCTGCCGCAGGAGTCCCTGTCCCCATCCGGTCAACTGCTATGTGTCGCGGCCCACGGAAAAGAATGTCTTCATCGTCTTTATGCTGGCGGTGGCTGGACTGTCCCTTTTCCTCAGCCTTGCTGAACTTTACCACCTGGGCTGGAAAAAGATTAGGCAGCGATTTGTCAAGTCCCAGCCAGGCGTTGGTGAGTGCCAGCTTCCTGGTCCCTCGGCTGGCATAGTCCAGAGCTGCACACCACCCCCTGACTTCAATCAGTGCCTGGAGAATGGCCCTGGGGGGAAATTCTTTAGTCCCTTCAGTAACAAGATGGCCTCCCAGCAGAACACTGATAACCTGGCCACGGAGCAGGTGCGAAGTCAGGAGCAGATTCCAAGAGAAGGCTTTATTCACATCCGTTATGCCCAGAAGCCCGAGGTACCCAATGAGGGCTCCCCAGGACCCAGCCTCCCCCATGGCTATCAGAGTGACAAGCGCCGTCTCAGCAAGGCCAGTAGCAAGGCCAGGTCAGATGACCTGTCGGTGTGACTTCCAGTGTGGGAGAACCAGATGGGAACAGAGGAGCTCAGAGAGGGAAGACATGTCCTTTCTGACCCCATCTCTTTCATTCTCATCACCGCTATGCTATTTTTGGACTTTGGGTCTCAATGGCATTGCTCATTCTCTCCAGAAGATGTAAGCAGGTCTTTATGGATGCGGTCAGAGACATAGCTACCTGTCCAGGCTGCTGTCTCTTCCCCATCCTCCACCCAGAATCCTCAGTGAAGCCTTTCAGATTACTCTGTGAATGGGACAGAAGAAGAGAGGGGATCATAGCAAATCTGGCCTGGGAGGGATAGCCAGAGGGATAGGATGACTCTCTACACAACAGCCACACAGCAGATGGATTCTCAGGTCCTCTGGCTTCCTTGATCTGAATACTCTTCCTCCAGCAAGAAGTAACCCAAAATTCCCAGCCCAACAATGAGCATGAGTCAAGGAACTTGCATTAGACGTGCTCTTGAGTATGTTGTCTCCTTGGACCATACCTTGGAGTGGTGGTGAGGTTGCCATGGTCTGCCCTTGGCTGCCCCTCCCTCTGCCCAGTCTTACTTAAAAAGAGGTCCTTGGAACTCGACCAGGGGGCTCAACTTTACAAGTGCCTTGGTATGCACCTCTGGCAAATGCACCTCTGGCACCTTGGTGATATTGCAGCCTTTCCTTCTGCCAGGGTGTGCAACCAGCCCCTGGGGCTGGAAGGCTCTCCTGGGGACTCACTGTACACACAATTCCACTAAAATTCCTGCCACCACCTGTCAGCCTGCAGCTCTTTTACAGTTCAAGCTGATGATAGACACCATCCCTTCCATTACCCCCTTGGTGGTCCCTCGAGTGCTCCCCTAAACACCTGATTGACCAGAATGCCCAAGAAGCCATTGTCCTCTCTTGAATCCTGTCCAGATCACCAGCCATGGAGGCCAGTGGAATCTCCCTAGGTCTTATGAAAACAAAGAGGGCATTGTGCTTCTCAGATTCCCCTTGGGGAAAAGAATAATTCTGTTGTGAAGATAGAAATAAAAAAGGAGAGAAAATACTGGAAAACTATTTTTCCCTCCTGTTTGCTTCCCTTGCTGACTGCCAACTTAGAGTGCCAAGAGGAGGTGTGATGACAACTATGGAGGCCCCCAGATTTCCCTTTCCCTGGAGTATTTAGCAAGGGGCATGAAAGCAGTAAGGGAATCTACAGTTCTCTTGGCAGGGCCCTTGTTTAAGAGCACAGAGATGCCTATGTCTTCCCAGTGGTCCCAAAGAGACTGCCAAAAGCAGTGGGGACTGCAGAAAAGCCCTGCCTTCCCAGGGACTGGCTAGGTTTCTCTCTTCAGTCCATCCACAATGGGTGGTTGCCATTTAAGATGAAGATAAATGATGCTCAGAATTGGATGCTGAAACTTATAGGGAGATGATTACTTTTTAAAATGCATGTGTGTGTGTGTGTGTGTGTGTGTGTGTGTGTGTGTGTGTGTACACTGATAAAGTGGGTAAAGGGGAGGGGAGTCCTGAAATAAGGAAAGGATATCTTAGAGACACTTGTGTTTTCCTGCTTTCCTCTAGATTCCTGGCAGAGGGCTGAGACTCACTGTTTTCAGTGTCATCAGCCTAAAGATATAGGCATGAGAGGCCGGGATAGAGGAGGTTAAAGGCTCAGTAGGAGGCTCAGCCCCACCTGCCCATCTCTGGGTCCCTCTGCTGAGACTTGAATGCTATTGGTGGGGAGATAGAAGGATGTGGGCAGAGGGGTGGAGGAAACTGACTGGGATGCCATTTATGGAAGAATGACTGGTTATCCCAGATTCCTGGAGGGAACACCTTTTAATCTATTGTCTGGCACTGGCATTAAGACTCTCCAAAACAAAACAAGTCTATCTTTCCCACCATCTCTCAAGTGTGTTTGTTTTATGAAATAAGTATTCTTGGGTTAGAAATTCTATGATATCAGTCCTTCATGAAGGGGCTTTCAGGAAGGAAAAAGGAAATAATACATGTAGCTTGTCCGAATAAAGTCTGGCCCTCCATATGTCTCTTCTTTGTGTCCCTTTCATGGTATGGCTACAAGATAGAGGTAGCATATTTGATAGGGGAGGGGAGCCCTTGATCAATATTGCAAAGAGCTTTGGAATCACGCATGCTAGGGTGAACATTGCAGCTGCTGATTTACAATTGGACTCCAGCGAGCTACTTAATCCCTGAAGCTTGGTTTCCTCATCTGTAAACTGAACCTGGTAATGTCTACCTCACAGGTTGTTAAATGAGATAGTGTTTGTAAAGAGTTCAGCAGGCTGCCTGGGAAAATCATAGTCTGTCATTAAATTGCAATTATTGCTATTATCTTCATTATTTTTGCTATTATGTTGACTACATAGTATTTGAAAACCTGGGATGTTCAGGAATGATTCCAGAACTTGCCATTATGGAGCTCACAGACTACCTAAAATGGTTAAACTAAATTACATAAAGGAAACAAAAGAGAATGAAATAGAAATTCATTAATGACCAATTCTAGGAACTATAAGGCTCCAAGAAGTTATCCACATGAAAGAACTACATTAGAAGAGGAGGTACCTGACTTGTCCTTAAGGAGTGGCTAAGGTTTTAGAAAAGTGAAGACCTCAAAAATGATTCTGTGAAATAGGCCTGTGTGTGTAAGTCACTCAGTTATGTCCGACTCTTTGCAACCCCATGGACTGTAGCCCACCAGGTTCTTCTGTCTATGAGATTCTCCAGGCAAGAATAACTAGAGTGGGTAGCCACTCCATTCTCCATGGAATCTTCCCAACCCAGGGATTGAACCCAGGTTTCCTGCATTGCAGGTAGATTCTTTACCATCTGAGCCACCAGGGAAGCCTGTGAAATTGGCCTGAGGACCCGAGTCTCCTACATTGCAGGTGGATTCTTTATCACTGAGCCACCTGGAAAGCCCAAAAGTGAAATGGCAAATGGGTGCCATTTCCTAGACAAAGAACCAAAGGCTGGGAAAAAGCAAACAAGTATTATCTGAACTACCAATTGGTCTATTTATCAGGGCAGGGAAGTTCTGTTAAAGAGGGGTTGCAAGGTGCTCGTAGAACACATCTTGCAACACCACTGTTGAGATTCAAGTGTATACCTGGCACCTGACCAAAGGTAAGGTGCTCAGCCCAGAAGTGCTTGAGCAGGTCATCTGGAAAAAGCACCTGGGATCCATTTTTTCTCCTTGATAAAAAAATAGTGAATCTCATGGTTTTATAAACATGGCTGTTAACATTTGACAGTTTATGTTACACCGAGACTTCCAAAGTCAAGGGACTTATTTTATAGTGAGTAGGATTTCAGCCTCATGTATCTACTCTCATTTTACTTCCTTTCTGCCTCTAAATGTTCACCACTAAAGAGGTAAGCTGAGCATAATATAATGAACACACCTTAGGTTGTAGGTCCCTACAGGCCCCGTTCCTTACTTTTCTTCTTCCAGTGCCAGTTAAGACCACTAGTGTTTCATTCTTATGGCTAAAGTGTTGATGTGGGTAGTGCTAGTAACACTCTTATGAAGAATTATAGTATGAATGAGTTTTTCCAGATTTCTTCTTGATAGCAAACTTTGATAGCAGAGGGAAAAACAAAAGAGCACTAGGCCCCTTGGCAGGTGTCTTGAGGGTTTGCTTTCATGATGTGGAAATGAAGAGTGGAGCGAGGCTGGAGGGGGAGCCAAAGATACTGCCTGCTTCCCAGTCCCCAGTAGATGCTGGAAGCCCCTGCAGCCCATCCATGTACTGGCCCTTACTGTCCATACAGGGAACAAACAAATTTACAAATGACAGCTATGTAAATAGAATAGAATCGACGGTTTATCCTCAGGGGCCACCTGATGGTCATCAGAGATGGGTATGGTCTATAGCTTTTTATTGTCATTTCAATTAGAAAAGAGGAAAACTTGCATTCAACAAATATTTATTGAGCACCTACTTTGAGCTGGCACTCTTTTGGGCTTTAGGCATGCAGTTTTACAAAATAGATATGGTTCCCTCCTTTTGGAGCTTACAACCTAATGGGGAAGACTCCCTCAAACAAGCAAGTGAACAAAATAATTGCAAATTGTGGTAAGTGCCTAGAAATAAACAGACTGGGTGGGGGGTGGGGGGGGATTAGCTAACAAAGGTGGGGAAGTTTCTAATTCCTAAGAAATTAGAAAACATAAACTAAATGAAATGGAAACATTGAATATGAAATAGAAAAAGTGAAACAAACTAGATACAAGTAAAAGATCCTCATATAGTCCATATAGCTATCAGATAGGATGGGCAGAAAGTCCTTTCTAAGGAGGTAATGTTGAGGCTCAGATCTGACAGCTGAGAAGAAGCCAGTCAGTGATGAGTAGGACAAGAACTCAAATTACTTGGGTAATAAGTAGGGGAACCCAAATTACTTCCAGGAAACCCCAGAATCCAGCTGTCCCTGACCGCAGTCTGATCCAACATTTTTGAAAGACACAGAATTCACACAGCACCTGGATAGCACCTAAAGCAAGACTGTTTGGCACCAACTGCTGCAAAACACAACCAAGCCTCAAGGGACAGAGAAGTCTTTTTCTCAAAGAAGCAAAAGGAACATATAAAAGATCTTAATTAAATGTATGTTGTTAACATTCTAGAAAGCTCTGTTTGATGCTACAACTATTATTTCCACCAATATCAATTCTGGTAACACACTTGGGGCCTGCTAAACTAGGCCTGTTCCCTAGAGGCTGCAGAAACTGGTGGGCGCAAGACTGTGTCTGGAGGGGCTGGGAAGGAGCCAGCAAGGCGTGGTCCAGAGGAGCCTTGGCATCGGAGAAATCACAACAGCAAAACATCGAGTGCACAGTAAAGGGGACGAGGCAGGGAGGGTAGCACATCCGCAGGGAAGCCAGGCTACAGGAGTCGTGCAAGACCCCAGGCAGGCAGGCATGCTGGAGACATCTCTCCACTGGATCTGGACTTGGAGCTAGACCTCCAGACTCAGAGGAGGGAGTTGAC